ACAGCAGGGACTGTAGCCAGCATGTGGTCTGCTAGCTAATCTGAAGGTGCTGCTAAAGCAGAGGGGCAGGGGGAAATAATCCCTGTTTAGCACAGAGAAGCCAGGTAGATGCAGAAGGGAAGGGCCAGCACTGATGTGGAGCAGAGAGCCCCACCCAGCCCAGAGAGCATGCTGGGATGCTGTGGGTGTCTGATTTACCATAAACTAGGAATGGGTCTAGAACAGACATTGCATAAACAGGTTTAAGCCAAATCATTTAACTCTGATACTACATTCAACCAGCTTTATCTCAAATTGGTTTCAGCCATTTTCGAACTGGTTTATGTGCACTGAACATCTGTTCTGTTACCAGTTTAAACCAGTTTCTGATCGCTTAAACTGGTTTATATGTAATGTCTGTCCCTAGCCTTAATGGGAATCATTCCTAAATTACAGACATGTTTTTGAAAATACTACAAATGATTTTTTAAATTGACTATTATGAGTTTGGTTTGGTTTCTTTTCCAGCAAGTTGGCCCAGATAATTTATGTTTTCAAATTATGTTTGACAGCTGTTTTATGTTTTGTACTTGCTATTTACAGAACTATGCAAACCTTATTCCTGGAGCTACTGTTGGACAACTTAAGGAAGATTCTGGCAATATTCTCCAGTTGATCATTGGTGCATATAAGGTAAGATATTTATAACCTACTTATGTTTTTCATATCTTTGGTTTTCAAAGATTAAATTGAAATTAGATGGAAACAAATACCTTCTGTTTTTTTTCTACATTGTGTACAAGAACAGAAGTCATTGTTTGCAGATGCCAAGCAATACCAAAAAGCTTTCCTTCAGCTGGGAAAGATGAAAAAAAGCACAAAAGATTAAATATTATTTGGTTATGCTACATACCACTGTTTTGCAGCAATATCTAAAACAATGCACTACTTATTAATGTTCTTCTCTGCTTTAGATACTTGGCCCTACCCTTGTAAGACTATACTAAAGTTTTTATAGGACAGAATACATACAGAAAAAGAAGATTTGAATGTGTTTGCTTAGCTAATGCAAGAAAATGCTCCAGGGACAACTGGGACAAAAACGGGTGTGCCTTTCAGTGATTTGTTTATAAAATTATCTTAACTCTTTTAAGACAAGGTTATGTCTTTGGATACTTTTATGGGAGTATATTTATATGATTTTCTTTCATTGTTTCATCTCTTTATTACAGTTATGAATCCTACCAATTGCTACATTTAAAAAAATGTCATTCTTTCCAATTTTTTCTTATTTGTCCATTTCTTATTATTATATACATTGGAAAGAGAAGTCACTAATATGTTTAAAAGTTATTTTGGATCAGAGGATGAAAGTGAATTAAAATGAATTATATTTTAAGTATAATTAATTGTAATGGAACTTACATTATGAGTTTCATATGAGTTATATGTACCAGCAGATTTTCCGTAATGT